ATTGAATGTGTGTGTGTGTGTGTGTGTGTGTAGGAAGAAGAAACAGAAGAGCCAAAATCCTTGGATCATTATTACGGTTAGGCTCTAATTCCTTTTTGTGATGCCTTCTTCATCATCATCCATCTCTTTCTCTTTTTTATATGCTTCTTCTTCGATATTTTTGTTTTGTTATATTGTAAGCTTTCAAGTTCTATCAATTTTTCTTTTCTTTTCCGATCTTTATTTTGAACGAAAAAAAAATCAAAATGATAAATGTTTCTTTTTCTGTTTGCTCGTATTGCGATTCATTTCGTATTTCAGTTTCATTTTCCATCACTTTGCTATTTTGTCTACAATATCTACAAACAGAATCAGTCAGTTTTTGTTGCGAAAATAAAAATGTTTCAATGTTCGTAGCCAGGAAAATTGTAAAATTTAAAAAAATGATTCTCATTTATTCATTCATTAATTGATTAGTTGATTTTATCATTTCGTTTTCTTCAAATTGAAATTGGACTCGAAAAAATGATCAATTCCACAATGAATGTTGTCGATTCATTATTCGTTTGTTTTGGTTGGTGTTTGTTTCAATTCTATATACACATAGTCAATTTCGATTCATCATGATCATCGTTCATTGTCCACCCACACGCACACACACACACCAATCATATTGGCTTCAAACAAACAAAAATGTTGGCTTTTTTTAGCTGTTTGTTTGTTTGTATGGTCCATTTCCATTTTAGTGTTTCACATTTTATTATCTTCAGGGTTTTCGTTTTTGTTGTCCATTTTCTGGCTCTAGCTGTTTGGTTGTGTTTGAACGAAAATTGAGATACACACACACATACATACGAATAAAATGAATTGAAACCAAGTTTTCCTTTTCATTTCTTTTCTTCTTTGTTCGTTTTTGCTTTTATTCTTTCCTATTTTTTTTCTTTTTATTTCAAATGTTTTGAATTCGTGTTTTTCGATTCTCGATTAGTGTTAGTGTGTGTGTATAATCAATCATTTTGAGCTTTGTAATTCTCTTTGCTTCACATATATTCATTGAACAGTTTCGGATTTTTTTCTCTTCTCAAAAGCTCTAAATTTATGGACCTACAGTATTTGTTTGGTCACTATATTTGTGTGTAAGTGGAGGAGGTGGTTTGAAAAATTGGAAAATTTGAAACAAAAATTTGTGTCACACACACTGCCAAACAAGCAAATGAATGTGAAAATTCAAAGTTTTTAATGTTAATTTGAATTTTTCATCAATAAAAAAAGATTCGTATCTCATCATTATCAATGTTTGGAGGAAATGGATTTCAAATTGCTTGATAATGCTGATGATGATGATGAAAGCGCGGAAGTAAAATAAAAGAAAATACAGAAAACATTTCAGCTTTTTCAGTATTGAATAAATTGATTTTAAATTCAAATTTTCTCTCTCTCTCTCTGTGTGTGTGTGTGCCTGCTTTTTCATTTTCCATTCATTTTCCCTATTTGTTGATAATGATGATGATGGTGATTGTCGGGTATCTTTTTTTTAGTGTAAGCAAAACAAAAATTCTTAACCACCAAACGATGACGATCATCGAGCAAGCAACGACGATGAAAAAATCTTTTGATTGAATAATAATTGATTGAAAGAAGAATTTTACTGCAAAAAGTGAATAATAAATCAGTCATTGTCATGATCATCATCATCTTGATGTTTGCCGTGTGTGTGTGTGTGTATCATTTGAATTTAGAATTTGTCAAAGTCATCGTTGTTTGACAAATTTCCATTGAAACTTTTTTTCTGCCATTCATTCAGTCAGTATCAAATCGTGAATTTAAACGAAAGCTAGAATTCATACGAATCTATGATGATGGATGGTGATTTTCTCTGTTTGATTCACGATACATTCCACAAAAGTGAAGCAAAGAAAAAAAACTTTCTTGATTTCCAAAGAAAAATTTTGAATTTTTTTTCGTTTTGTTTTGAGACATTTTCTACGTTTGCAATAATAAATTTGATGATTTTTAAGTTGTTGTTGTTGTTGTTGTTGGCCACAAGAATTTAAATTAAATTCTCGTTTTTTCAAAAAACACAAGAACCAAGAAAATAGAAAAGAAAACTTTTTTCGCCCATATCGATTGACGGGTTTTTTTCGTCTCTCTCTCTCTCTAATTATAAAATAATTTCATCCATTGAATTGAATAGATGAAATTAAATTAATTTTAAAATACAACAGACACAGGAAAAAAGGCATTCACAAGTTACGGTTTGATGGTTTCTTTTTGAATTTGCCCAAGAAATTTTTCCTTTTCTTTTTTTTACATTCTTCACTTAAATTGTCTTTGTCGTTTGTCATTTTCTTTCACTGGTTCTTGACAAATTCATTTTTAAACAAAAAATTTCTTGGAAAAAATCCTGGAATTTCCAATAATTCATATTGTTAGTGCTGTTGTTTTGTTCTCACTTGAGTTTCACTACTCGTCGTACTAAACACTAATCAAGCAATTGAAATGATGATTGTGGTTGGTTGGTTGTTTTTTTTGTATCGATTTTTGTTTCAATGTTCACCATGCTATCGCTATGCAATCAATGAATTGACCAAAAAAAAAAAAAATGTCATAATCAAGTCACGTAAGATTTTTTCTTCGTTTTTCCATTTTTTCATCATTCACTAACTAACAAACAAACAAACAAACCATTGAATCATCAACCAAAAAACATTGCTAATTAAAACAAGGAAACTGATGAACAGAATTTTCTCATTTTCGTGCAAAAAATTTTTTTTAGAAAATTAAATATTGAAAAACGCAGGCAATTTGGTTTTACAGTCATTATCATTATCATCATTTTAATAATCAAATATTCTAAATTACAATGTTAACAAATCATCTCTTTCTCGCTTTCATTTCATCTCATCAAACAATGGCGACAACCACGCACACAGGCAAGAAAAGACAAATTACATAATCTAATGTCGACGCGACATTAAGAAAGAAAAAGCTTTGCCACCAAAGCCAAAATTAACGGCATTTCTTCTTTATTCAATTCAATTGAAAGAAGGATGCAAACTGTGTGGCCCGGTATCAATGACTTTGAAGAAAAAAACAACCAAGACTCACTCTAATGTAATAATGAGAATGAATTTGGTTTGGTTTTTTTGGATCCTGGTAAATGTGGAATGAATGAATTTATTTCATTACACAATCATCATCATCATCATCATCATCAAACAACATTCTATTTATAAAGATTGCATGTGGTGGGTAGATGATGGGGGGACTAGATTCATGAAACAGAATTGTCTTTAATGAAACTTGGTTCAGTTTTATTTATTTATTTTTTTTTTTTTTGTTTCTCCTGATGAGCCTAATCAATGAATCTATCCACTACCACTACCGCCCATTATACCATCGTTGTAGATGATTGGTAATCAGCTAATTTATTGGAATGAAATACAAAAACTTGAACCCAAATAACACACACACTCACACAATGTTTGTGTTTGAGTTTGGTTCAATCATTTCTTGTTTTCTTAAATAACAGCAACAGCAACAACAACAGTAATTTCTGCTCCAAATTTATATACAATGTTCATCTTGAATTTTATTTGTTGTTGTTGTTGTTCAAATCAACCAAAAAAAAAAAAAAAAATCTTGACCAATCTTTCGAAATAACAGCAGCAATTAGCTACAATGAATTGTGAGTGTGTGTGTGTGTGTGTGTTTGCTGTTATATAGTGATGGAGCATTAAAACATAACTTTTCTTAATTCTGTGATTTGATTTCTGAACAATCTCTCTGTTTTTTTTTGAATTAATACCCCTAAAGCAATCATTGTGATCAATTGATCGATTTTGTTTAATCAGTGGTTTGGCCACTGACCACCAATAGATAAATCCATCATGATTTTGGCCTTTTCATACAATCAAGAAAAAAAAATCATTAATATCAAATGGTTTTACAATTCAATTCATTCATTAATCATTCATTTCTTCTTCCTACTATAATGACGATGGATAATGATGATGATGATTTGAATCTCAAATAGAATTTGAAATTAAAATCCAAATTCAAAAAAAAACGAATGAATAAATGAAATTTGATCGATAAAAATGCTGTAATTCTAATTTTGTTTGTTTACTTGTTTGGTTGTTTAATAATTTGTGCCTGAATCTAATGATAATGATGATCGTGATGATGATAATGGTACTACTTTGATTTGATTTCGATTCGGATAATTATTTGCTCGATACTGAAACACACACATATACCGATAATCATTATTATTGATTTCTTCAGAGAATTTTATTCTTCTTCTCTCTATTCACATTTATGATTGATTTATTCATATCCATAGACTTGCCCGGATTTTTTTCTCTCTTCATTGGAATTAACCAACTTTGATTGAATTTGGCAATAGAATGAACTCGAATCATTTGGAGATGCTATATATTACATACACACATACACACACACATGATTCTTTCACTCTTTATTTTTTTTTGTTCACTTTCTTTATCATTTGATTAGTTTAATCATCATCATCATCATCATAATGAAATTATTATTAAACAATTCAGTTTTACTTTGTGTGAAAAAAAAGTATTAGCAAGCAGCAAAATTTCAACCAGTGCAAAAAAGGCGTACAGATTTTGTGATTGAATCGTTGATAGTGTATGATAGTTTCTGCTTGCTTCACACACACTCACACAATGGTATGATGGATTTCACCCAGAATCTTATCGATCGATCGATCAATCGATCACCAACAACAACAACATCATCATCATCATCAGATTAGAGGCATCTTTCATTTATTCATTTATTAATGAATTCTCGTAGAATTTTTTTTGGCAAAATCAAAAGAGAGAGAGAAAATGAATGAATTTTGATTAGGATTTATTTACTACTCAGCAGCAGCAGCAGCAGTAGCAGAATTGATTACAGTCTATTGAATTGATTTCATTTTTATTTGCTTTTGAAACTAATGTTTATCGTGTTTTTTTTTTTTTCTTCTTCTTTTAATATCACAGGATCCACCCGATCCAAGAGTATTACCAGAGGAGCTTGATTATGGTGGTTTCGACGTAGCATCAACTGGTCCAGAACGATTGAAACGTGTTCGCGTCGGTTATTATCAATGGGCGCCATTAATATTATTAGTACAAGGATGTTGTTTTTATGTACCATTTTTAGTATGGAATAGTTGTGCACATAATGCCGGTGTAAAGCTACGACGTTTATTGAAGAAAGCCTCTGATATAGCATCACTGCCACCTGGTTGTCAGCAACGCGAAGCATTATTAGCTGAATTTGTTGATCAATTCCATACATTGGTTACAGGTGAAGCTGGTTGGTGTACAGATCCAAGTTGTCGATTGCCTCTATCGTGCCGATGTTGTATTGGCGGTCCAAGCCGTTATCTGTGCCTACTATACCTATTGGTCAAGAGCCTTTATGTGCTCAATGTTGCCCTACAATTTATATTACTCGGTTCATTTATGGGCCGTGGATTTCTTCGACATGGACTTGAACTGATGCGACGGTTCATTGTTGAAGGTGATTGGTGGGCATCACCAAGATTTCCATTGCAGACCTTGTGCCAAGTAAGGGCCGCTATACAAGGCGGTTTACGTACATATACATGCCAATGTGTATTGCCTATCAATGTATTCAATGAGAAAATATTCTCTGTCGTTTGGTTCTATCTTGCATTTTTAATGCCTTTGAATGTTGCCTCCTTATTATTCTGGCTATGGCGTACATTCCGTTGTAATCGTCTTGCCTATGTTCGACTTTGCCTATGGCGGACAAGGCTAGTATCGATGGCTGAAGTTGGACGTCTTGCACGTAAAATATCCACCAATTATCTAGGATGGGATGGTGTATTCGTATTACGTATCATTGAACACAATCATGGCTCCATTATGGCCACATTGATCGTTTCAAGACTTTGGGAATTCTATGCTAATCAAATGAAAATGCAAGAAGACGGCGGTGGAGGTACCGGTACGGCAAATGGTTCAGATGCTGAAGTTGGTTCCGTTGCATCGGTTGGTGCGCCGCCATCTACCTCATGGCATTCATGTCATGCGGCCGCTTGTCATGCGACCAGTCATCATCATTCAACATCAGCAGCGGCAGCAGCAGCAGCTGCGGCAGCTGCTGCCGCATATGCACCACCAACACCATCTGGACCACCGCATCCACATCATCAACAATTAGCATCAACGAATCCAAGAAAAAACATTCCACCAAATGGTTTCTGGAAATGACAATAACTCAAAAACTGGGGGCATTCACACACACACACACACATATGCCCACAGTGATTTTTTTGCTCCATGATTCATGATTTTATTCTGGTTTTCTGATTTTTTTCTCTTTCCTTCTTCATCATCATCGTCATCATTTAATATACACCACACACACACACACACATTGATCGACAAAGAAACAAAGGCCGGAAATGCAGCAAAAAAAATTGTTATTATTGTTAAATTGTTGTTGTTGTTGTTATCATTGATTGATTGTCATAGTGATTGTTTGTTTGTTTTGTTTTCATCGATCTCCGTTTCCTGTAATAATGTACCGATGTGAAGAGCCGGTATAAAATACCTGTATCGATTTCTGATGATGTGCGTGTGTGTTTCATTATTTTATTTGCGTTTCCTATTACATCATCATCATCAACAACAACAACAACTAGTCATTCATTCATTGTGTTCGTTTTTCATCATTGTCATTCAACACATACACACCACCATATGATGATTTTTCTCAGAAAAAAAGCCTTTGACATCAAAAAAAAGAATTGAAAAACCATGAATAATGGAAACCAGAATTTTTTCCTTCTTCTTGCTGCAATTGCATCGACAATTGGGTCAGAAACATTTGTACAATTTATTCACAACGACCATTCACGATTGCAATATTTCTCAATATTTTCTCAAAAAAATTTACTCAAGTAAGTAGCTTATTTATCTATATAGAACAACAAAAGAATCTGATTTTTAAATTTTTTTCCCAACTCTATGTTGATACTGATAACGCCATCTATGTCCTAAAGGTCTGTATTATTTTGGAAAAATTTTTTTCTATACACAAATTTTTTCTTTCTTCTCATTGGTGTTCAAGCCTATTTTTTCTCTCGTTTTCATTAACGATTATTATGATTATTAACTAATTAATTATTATATGTAAGGAACATCATTATCATGGCAGATAATACGGCAAAGAATGGACAAGAAGACAACGACAAAAAAGAAGAAACCTTAGCCAAGCCATACACACACACACACACAACAAACACTGTATGTAAATGTATCCACCAAACAAGCACACACAAAACAAAATGAATTTCCATTGGTTTAAAAATTCTGGAACATCACAAAAATTGAAGCACTCCGGAAATTGTTGTTGAATGTTATTGGCTTGTTGTTCTTGTTGTTGTTGTTTAAAAATATGTTTTTTTGAAAAAATTATTAATTATCACTACAAACACATGTGGCTGAATTTTCATCTGTAATTTTTTTTCCTGTCTTTTGCGATTCTCTATTTATGATATTGTTGATTGATTGATGAAACAACGTACAAAAGAAACAAACAAAAACAAACAAACTTGAATCGTTATAGATTTTCATCATTGATTTTTTTCTTTCATCTCTGTTTTTCATCATTCATAACAAAAATCTTCACCAATTCGATCTCGATCATCATCCACATTATCATCTGTTTCATTTTTAAATATCACATCCACAATGACACATTTGATCTCTCTCTCACTAATTTCATTTGAATTTTTTTTTCTTCTCATTTCCATCAACAAACCAAATAATGCTCATCATCATCCTCATCCGCAATTCCACCATCCATTAGTTCACACAAACATTTACAGAGACAAGAAAACATCCATCTAAACGAAAAAAAAACAATCCTGCATTCGTAAACCATGTGTACACTAAAACAACAAAATTTTTCGACAATTTATGTGATATCGATACCACATCAATGTTTCAAAATACTGCAAGTTTTTTACACCACGCACAAATCTTTTGTTTTTTTTCTCTCGTTTTATTGATGTGTTATTCGATATTACAAGAATGCCCATTTTGTTTTTCATCCTTTTTTTTCTTTAAAATGAAATTGATTAATTTGATTGACCATTTAATTTGATTTGCATATTCATTTATTAGTATCATATGATTAGTGTGAGATTGGACCTCTAAATTAAAAGTGACCAGAAAACTTTTTGTTTTTTTTACTCTTTTTGATCTTAATGCTCATCACCATTTTCTAATAGTACAACAACAACACCAAAAACAACAACAACAACTCACACACTCAAGTAATTCAATTTCTTTATTATTGATAATCAAAATATCTACGTGTAATATTTAGAAAGTTTTATCCATTTTTTTATCAATTTTCATTGACCATATTTTCATTTTTTGGACATTTAGAACATTTGCGCACACCAGTTGATTAAATGTTTATAATCAATCATTCGATTGATTGATCGATCTGAAGCATTTTTTCTTGACTTTACAAACCAAATGATTTGATGTTTATTATCATTTTCATTTCTGGTGCTACGAAAAAAAAATTCAATTCCATTCACCTGAGAGAGTGAGAGAAAGATAAGTTTTATGCAAATTAGATGCTTGAAGAAAAAAGATTGATGTTAAAAACTGTTTCTTTGGTCTGCACACGCACATTGTTCATCATTTGCTGTTGAGTAAATGAAATTTTTGTCTGTTGCTCGTGATCAATCTTGAATTCAGTTCCATATATGTGAATCATTCCATATCATCAGTTTGATATTTTCATCAACAACAATACAAATAAATCCATCATCATTTTGTCAGATTCATGTGCATGGTTCAGAATTCAAGAATTGTGTGCATGCATGTCAATCGGAATGGTACAAACAAACAACAGACAGACAGGGTAATCAAGCAAATTGTCTTAGCAACATTATCAATTTGTGTGCGGGTGTTTTGTACATTTTAGGTTCCAAAAAAATGCATGGTTTTTTACTCTTTTTTTCTTTATTTTTGCACATTACGTTTTTTTCTGTTCCACCACCAACCATTTAGAATCTCGGTTTTGTTCAGAATTGTATTTTATTTCATCTAATATCTTTATTCTCGATTCATTCACAAAAATGGAATCATTTCAAATTATTCTGATCTCTCTCTCTCTTTGTCTCTTCTCTTCTTCTTTATATTCTTTGCTTTGCTACTCTAAAAAACACACACCGAAAGTCTTTCAGAAATTTTTTCTTTTTTTTTTTTTTTATTTTTTGCTTTTTTGTCATCCAAATGCAATGCAAACAACCAACACAACAACATACGATTTAGTTATTTTTTTTTTTTTTTTCATTTTTAGTACAACTGCTACAGCAGCAGCAGCAGCAACAACAACAACAACAACAACAACGAACATTAATCACCAATCACCAATCATTATTATGAATCAAAAATTTTTTCAAATAAATATAGATAGATTATGTATCTCAATGGTTGGTAGGATGATAAAGTGTATTCGATACTGGTCATTTAGATAAACTTTTTACAAATAGTTGAAATGTGCGAATCAAATTTTATGGTCAAAATTAATCTACAAATCTTGGTCACAATAGCTGTTTGTTTTTACTCCTTCCTTGTCTTTCCTGTTTTATAATTTTTTTTTAAAACAAAAAAAACCATTCCACAAATATAAAATGATTAGCTATCGAAAAAAAACAATTGTACACACACTCAAAGTTCAATGGATGTTTACATTTGTGTGAATTATGTATGGTGGATGGATGGATTGATGATATATGGATGGCCCCAACAACCAGCATGGACAGCATTTTTTTTTCTCATCTTCATCATTAAAATCACACCACCATCATTATCATCAATTTTAAAAAAATTTTTCTCTTTTTTTCTGTTTTCATTTCGATTCTATATATGGAATTCATTCATTTGATTTATGATCGATCATTATTGATTATTATAATTTCTGTATGTAATATTTCAAAAATTATTTATTATTATTATTGATTATTATATATGATGATTATTATTAAAATTTAAATTTAAATTTAAATTATTATTATTATTATTATCATTAAAAAACGAAAACAAAATGATGAAATAAAATAAAATGTGAGAAACAAAATCAAAATTAATAAAAACAAAAAAATTTGTTTCGTTTTTGAATAAAATGACAAAATCACTTGAATCATTCACATTGAATATTTCCAATCACTTTCATCTATTGGAATAAATGTTTGTATTAAATTGGATATGGAGAATTTTTTTTTTGTTCCCAATGATGATAATCTTGTTTATCACAATACATCCTGAAGCTATCAACTACTTAATATCATGAAAGATGATTGGCTTCATAGTTGTTATTAAATTTGACATTCTTTGACAATTTTCGCTTCACCTGGACCAAATAAATCCAGATACAAACAACAAAATCCACTTGAAGATAAATAATGATATTTCTCTGTGAAACCTGAATCAACAACAACTTGACAATTCATTTATATTTGTTAAAAGATCTTATTAAGTTTTTGGCAAAAGGCCAAATAATAATATGATTGCATTTTCAATTTATTTTAGAGATTATTTTTCTTTGTGTATGTGTGGGTGTGTCTAGCGTGTTATATACGGGAAAAAAACATTGATCAACCACCAATGTCTATATTTCTAATAAGATTTTTTTCATCATCATCATATTGAACCTATATAAAATGTCATTGATGTAAAACGATTCTTTTTCTCTCTTTGGCTCATACACACAGGTAAGTCGTTCTCAAGAGAGAACATGGTAGACACACATGTCAATGTATCTTGATGAGCAATTTCTTTCGTTTTTTTTCTTTGAACAAATTCGATAAAACTTAATCGTCAGAGACATAAGGGAATTATCTGCAAAAATACTAATTCAAGTTGTATATTTTCTTATTGATATTGCATAACTTGAACAACAACCATAACGAATTTGATGAAAATTACTTGAAAATTATAATCATCATCATCATCATCATTAGCAGCAACAAACACAATTTGTAATCATGATGATGATGATGATGAGGACCATTTAGATTGCTATATTTTAATTCCAAAATGCGAATTTGTCTTAAAAAAAGCTGATTCCATCATCATCAATAGTCAATTGATCAATTCCCAAATGCGAAACCAAATGAACATTCATACGTAGAGTATTGAATAATTTTTTTTGTTTGTCTGTATCACAAGGGGATACGACGTGACCATTAGTGACCATCAGAATCATCAACAGCAACAATAGACACACGTATGAATAATCCACATATACCGGTACATACATATGTTGTTGTTGTTGATGATGA